TACCATAGTGAGTTTTTTCTCAACACTAGTGACTTAATAACAGCCGATTCAAAGCAAGCAGAAAAGAAAAGAGAAATAGCTTTAGAAGACTCTATTTAACTCTATAGTTACAGGTTAATCATTTGAGCTCTGAGATTTTCTTGGTGTAATTTGCCCATCAGTTTAAAATGTTCATTAAAACAGGCCGGAACATAGGGCCAGCTGGAGTCCCAGTACACCAGCAACCCTCATCTTGACAACGGTAGCTTGTAGAAACTCTTGAAATTGGGTCATGTGAATCCACTAGCTCTGTTCTGTTTCAAAATTGTCTGAATAGCCTGTTCTAGTCACCTGGCTTTTCTGTATAGAGTTTACAATTGGCTTGTTGATTTCTACAAAAGAATGAGTGGGATTTTGATGGTTTAGGCTTGCGTTGAGACCGTTACAGGCAAACCTTAGAGGCAGTGCAGGTTTGGGTCCAGATGTGCAATAATGTGAATGTGGCAATAAAGCGAGTCACAGGAACTTTCCATGTGTGTAATCATACAGCCTGGGGCCCACCAAGCCAGACAAATGGGGTGAAAGGCCACCAACTGTTCCCCCTCTCCAACAGGGTGCCCCAATGCAAAACAGAATGGTTCAAAGAAGGAGCCCAAGTACAGGGAAGGGAGCCCCTTACAGTGCACACCAGCGTGGCTCACCTCGCTTTTGAATCAAGACCCTCAAGGTTTGTCGGTTCCTCACTCCAGTGATCCATGTAGAGGCAGCCAGTGCCAGGAAATGGGCATGGGAATCCCCAGAGTAAAAGGGCTTCGGCAGCTGCTAGGGACGGTCCAGCTGGCCACGAACAACTTCTCCTGGCTAACTCGCCACACAACAGCCAGTGCAGAGACAAGCAGTTGGAACGAGGAGGGTGACTTCATCGGGAGAGCCAGCATACCAAAATATTGGGACTAGTGTCCTGAAGAACTCTTCTGAGTCAGTCTGACTTTAGGCTCTTTTATGTCAAGGGCAGGGGAGCAGGAGGAGCTGGGGTCGGGAGGTCACCAACGTGCGCAGGCACCTGGGCACTGGCGGCCAGTGTCTGAGGAGCTCGAGGTCTTTGTCCTTGGTGGGGTCATGTGTTCCTAAGAGTCTTCCACAAGACAGTGAGTTGTCTGCATGCTCCCCCTTTCGTCTCAGAGCTCATTTTGAGAATGGTACGATCGCTGTTGCTGCTTCTGCGTTTTAGCTCAGTCTCTAAAGTTGTCCGAGCTGATGTGCAGGAATGGGCAAAGGCCCTTGAAAAAAGACGGAGCTTGCCACGCTTGTTCTTTTGCTGTTTCGCTGACACAGACACATCTTGCTTCTAGGAACAGCGGTGACATTGAGGAGGGTTGCCATGTTTCTGCTGCTTTTGCTCCTGTGCCCAGTCTGGTGGTCTGTGATTGTATATTTCACAGCAGAGGCTTCCCAGACATGGCAGCCACCTAGGCTCTGTGCACACGAGGCTTCCTCTGCGTCGGGTTCCTGTGCCATGATGGGGCAGGTTCTGGTGCCTGTGTGGGCCACCTCAACTCTCGGCACCTGTGGGCCACCGCCCGTGGACCATTTTACTGAGAAAGGAGTTCCCCATCCAGAGGTGGGTGTGGGCGACTGGCATGAGTCAGGCTCCTGCTGTCCTTAGTGCAGAGTGGGAGGAGGGTCTAGGGACATCACTTAAAAAACAAAACAGAAGCCAGGCTTGGTGGCTCAGCCTGTAATCCCAGTGCTTTGGGAGGCTGAGGTGAGTGGATTGCCTGACCCCACGGGTTTGAGACCCACCTGGGCAACTTGGTGAGACCTCATCTCTACAATAAATAAAAAATTAGCTGGGTGTGGTAGCACGTGCCCATAGTTCCAGCTACTCAGAAGGCTGAGGCAGAAGGATCGCTGGAGCCCAACAGGTCGAGGCTGCAGTGGCTGGGAGCAGCCACTACACTCCAGTCTGGGTGACAGAGTGAGACTCCAACTCAAAAAAACCAAAAAACAAAAAACCAGAAATGACAGTTCTAGAGGCTGTAAGTCTAAAGTCAAAGTGTTGGTAGACTTGGCGTGTCTTCATCAGTTTGGACTGCTGTAAGTACATACTGTAGACTGGTGGCTTGTAAACAGAAATATACTTCTCATGGTTTCGGAGGCTAAAAGTCCAAGGTCCTGAGAGGCTTGGTGGAGAGGGCCTGCTTTCTGGTTGATAACAAAGTGAGGGGTGTCTCCAAGTCCCTTTTTTGTTGTTGTTACAGACGGTGGTCTTACTGTGTTGCCCAGGCTGGCCTTGAACTCCTGACCTAAGGCAATTCTCCTGCCTCAGCCTCTCTAGTAGCTGGGAGGACAGCTGTATACCACAACGCCTAGCTCCAGTCCCTTTTTTAAGGGCACTAATCCCATTCATGAGGGCTCTACCTTCATGGCCTGCTAGCCTCCCAAAGGCCCTACCTCCTAACACCATCACTTTGGAGGCGACGCAAACATTTAGTCCATAGTTGGTTCCTTGTGAGGGCTGTGAAGGAAGGCCCCACCTGGGCCTTTCTCCTTGGTTGGTGGGTGGTCACAGCCTCCCTGTCTCTTTTTTTTTTTTTTTTTTTTTTTGAGTTGGAGTCTCACTCTGTTGCCCAGACTAGAGTGCAGTGGCTGCTCCCAGCCACTGCAGCCTCGACCTGCTGGGCTCCGGCGATCCTTCCGCCTCAGCCTTCCAAGTAGCTGGAACTACAGGCGCGCACTACCACGCCCGGCTAATTTTTTGATTTATTGTAGAGATGAGGTCTCACCAAGTTGCCCAGGCGGGTCTCGAACCTGCGGGCTCAGGCAATCCACTCACCTCAGCCTCCCAGAGTGCTGGGATTACAGGCTGAGCCACCGAGCCCGGCTCTCCCTGTCTCTTTACTTTGTTTTTTCTCTCTGTCTCTCTTGTCCAAATTTCCACTGTTTTCTTTTTCACTATTATTATTTTTTTTTTTAGCTAGGATCTCACTCTGTTGCCCAGGCTGAGTGCAGTGGTGCAATCATAGCTCACTACAGTCTCCAACTTCTGGACTCAAGTGATCCTCCTGTCTCAGCTTCCTGAGTTGCTGGGACTACAGGTGCTGGGTAGAGACAGGGTCTTGTTATGTTGCCCAGGTGGTCTTGAACTCCTGGGTTCAAGCAATCCTCCCACCTCAGCCTCTCAAAGTGCTGATTTTAATACAGGCATGAACCACCGTGCCTGACTTCTTGTACTGTCTTAACCACTTTTCAGCATACAGTTCAGTAATGAAAAGTGTATTCACATTATTGTGAAACAGATATCCAGAACTTTTTCATCTTGTAAATCTGTACCCATAAAACAGGAACTCGTCATTCCCCCCACCAGCCCCTGGCACCCACCATTCCCCTTTGCATCTCTGTGAATTTGGCTACTATAGCATCTCATATAAGTGGAATCGTACAGTGCGGGCCCTTTTCCAGCTGGTTTATTTCACTCAACATACTGTTCTCAAGGTTCATCCACGTTGTACGCGTGTCAGGATTTCCCTCCTTCTTGGCTAGGCATGGTAGCTCATGCCTGTGATCCCACTTTGGGAGGTGGAGGTGAAATGATTGCCTGAGCCAGAATTCGAGACCAGCCTGGGCAACTTGATGAGAACTTATCTCTTCAATATATCTAAAAAATTAGCCAGGCAGGGTAGTGTGTGCCTGTGGTCCCAGCTACTCCGGAGGCTGAGACAAGAGCAGCTTACCACTGCACTTCAGCCTGGGCGACAGAGACTGACTCAAACAAAAAATTCCCCATTTTTTGAGGCTGAACCATGTTTTACTGTATGGAAGGGCCACATTTTGCTGGTTCATTCACCCCTTATAGACACCGGGGTTGTGTCTCTGTTTCAGCTGTTGTGAATAATGTTCGGGACTCTGGACATGGTGTGCACATGTTTGTCCATGCCCCTGCTTTCTGTTCTGGGTATCTACTCAGACGTGGGCTTGCTGGACCACACAGTAATTCTGTTTAATATTTGAGGGATGGGGACTTCACTTTGAGTTTGTATGAATCCTCTATTTTCAGCATGGCACCCCCTTCTCTCCTTTCTCCCTGCCCCCCACCCCACCCGTGGGTGAGGTAGGGGATGGTGGGCTTCTTCTTGGCTGGGCAGAGTTCCTCCCTGGGGGAGAAGGCCGTCCTGGAGGACCCCACCTGCTTCTGGCCTGTCCCGCGGTTACCCCTTCCGGTCTCCGGCCCGTGGCGCTGCTCCTTCGTCCTTAGCAATTCTTGAGCATTGTTTTCCCTGGTCTACGACCCTTTAGAGAGCCTTGGGGAGGAGGAGGTTCCTTGAGTTCTGCCTTTCTGGAGGCGCCCAGCAGGCGGGCTGACCGCGCCTGCCCGAGGGTGCGCACCGGCCAGCCTCA